TCGGACAGTGCGGCGCTCCCTCAGCGCTGACCCTCGGACAGTGCGGCATTTTCCAGCCTTTGCCTGGAATCCTTCATTCCCTTCCTGATTACAAACCTGTCTGTCTCAGCCTTGATTACACTGAAGGACCCAGCCAGGAGAGCCGTGTGTGCTGGTGGAGGTGGAGGTGAGGTGTTGGTGTTTTGCGGTGTTGAGAGTTAGCTGTGCTGTGTTTTGGAGACTCACTGTTTCCTCACTCTGTACAGATCCACCTGATCCTCGGAGACTTTGTCAGTGCAAAGATGGAGTTAGAGAAAGCTCTGTCCCTGGCACCACCCACACACCGTGACCAGGACACAATGAAGAAGCAGCTCAGTAGAGGTGCGTGCCATCTGGGAATATCGCCCAGGGAGGGGACCATGTGGCCACAGTGTCACTGGGAGAGGGCACAGACCAGGTGCTCAGTTTCAAAACCTCACAGACTCAACAAGGAGAGAATTGGGATGAATTTTACTGAGAAGCTGATTTATCGCAGAAAGGGACTGAGATAAAAAGTGAGGGAGAGATAAAAAATATGAAATCTTCAAAGTCAAAGAGCTGAGGAATTCTGAACGAACAGACCAGAGAGGTTTTGTTCATCTTCAACTTTCTGATCCTGCCCAGACCCAGGGCTTATTGCAGTTTTCACACACCAGCCAACCAAAGGCCAATTTGATTCACTCCACGTGATACCAAGAAACGGTTGGAGACACTGGATACTGCAAAGGCTACAGGCTCTGACAACATTCCAGCAATAGTACTGAACACACGTGCTGCAGAACTTGCCGCTCCCCGAGCCAAGCTGTTCCAGTACAGTTACAACACTGGGATCTAACCCGACAGTGTGGAAAATTGCCCAGGTATGTCCTATACACAAAAAACAGGACAAATCAAACCCGGCCATTTACCGCCCCATCAGTCTCCTCTCGATCATCAGTAAAGTGATGGAAGGTGTCAGTAACAGCGCTATCAAGCAGCACCTGCTCAGCAATAACCTGCTCAGTGACGCCCAGTTTGGGTTCCGCCAGGGCCACTCAGCTCCTGA